AATAGCCTGATTAGCCAAAGCAATCCTAAACAAAAAGAACAAAGATGGGGAGGCATCACACTACCTGACTTCAAACTCTATTATAAAGCTATAGCAATCAAAACAGCATGGTATTGGTACAAAAACAGTCATATAGACCAATGGAACAGAATAACAAAAATAAAGCCACACACTTCAAATCATCTGATCTTTGGCAAGACCAACAAAAACAAGCAATGGGGAAACTCTTCCTTATTTAATAAATGATGCTGGGATAACTAGCTAGCCATATGCAGAAAATTGAAACTAGACCCCTACACTTCACCAGGTACAAATATTAAATAGATCAAAGGTTTAAATGTAAGACCTCAAACTACGAAAATCCTAGAAGACAAACTAGGAAAATCTCTTCTTGACATTGGCCTTGGCAAAGAATTTTCAGTTAAGTCCCCAAAAGCAATTGCAACAAAAACAAAAATTGACAAGTAGGATCTAATTAAACTAAAGAGCTTATGCACAGTAAAAGAAAATATCAACAGACAACCTACAAAGTGGGAGAAGATATTCACAAACTGTGCATCTGACAAAGGCCTAATATCCAGAATCTATAAGGAACTTAAGTAAATTAAGAAGAAAATAATAATAATAGCCCCATTTAAAAAGGGCAAAGAACATGAACAGAAACTTCTTCAAAAGAAGACATTAGAAGCAGCTAACAAACATATTTTAAAAAACACTCAGCATCACTAATCATCAGAGAAATGCAAATCAAGACCACAATGTGACACCATCTCAAACTAGTCATAATGACTATTATCAAATGATCAAAAGCAGCAGCTAGTGATTTCATAGAAAAAAGGGAATACTGTTAGTGGGAATATAAATTAATGCAGTCATTACAGAAAGCAATGTGGAGATTTATCAAAGAACTTAAAATAGAACTACTATTCAATTCAGCAAGTCCATTACTAGGTATGTACCCAAAGGAAAAGAAATGATTCTACCAAAAAGACATATGCACTCGTATGTTCGTTGCAGTACTATTCACAATAGCAAAGACATGGAATCAACTAGGTGCCCATCAGTGGTAGACCGGTTATAAAGAAAATGTACATATACACCATGGAATACTACACAGCCATAAAAAAAAGAATGAAATCATGTCCTTTGCAGCAACATGGATGCAGTTGGAGGCCATAACTCTAAGCAAATTAACACAGGAAGAGAAAATCAAATACTGCATGTTCTCATTTATAAGTGGGAGCTCAACATTGAGCATAAATGGACATAAACATGAGAACAATCGATACTGTAGACTACCAGAGTGGGGAGGGAGTGAAGGGGGCATGGGTTGAAAAACTGCCTATGCTGTACTGTGCTCACTGCCTGGGTGACGAGATCCATACCCTAAACCTCAGCATCACACAATATTCCCAGGTAATAGACCTGTACAGGTACCCCCTGTATCTAAAATAAAAGCTAAAATTGTTAAAAATTCTTCAGAAATAATTGCAACAACTGATAACAAAAGAAATATACTTAATGTATCCCATGAGATTTAAAAAATGGAAAATATGAAAGAATGTTAAAAGTCATGGAAGATAGACATTCCAATGTACAGTCAAAAAGGGTTCAGAAAGAAATAATAGAAGACAAGGGGTTCATGTTTGGCTGAGAATTTCCAGAATTATTCAAAGACAAATCTTCAGTTTCAGAAGCTCACTGAATTGTTTTAAATTCTCACCTAGACACATCATTGTGAAATTTCAGAACACCAAGGCTGAAGAGATCTTTGAGGCAACCGGAGATAAAACTTAAATAGGCAGGTTAAAATATCCTGTGTAACTACTGAAAGAATATTTTTAAAGTATAACTTCTGAAACACATAAATACTAGCAATACAGAAGAAAAGAAAACTAAGTCACATCCAAAAGATGGGCGAAGGGAGAAAAATTGAAATAGAAAAGAATACATGGCAAAGCAATATGATGATAGTAATTAACCCAAATATATCATTAGCAAAATTAAATAGCAACAAAATATGCTCATTAAATAAACAAGATTGCATTCTGGATTCTCCCTGACCCCAAATTCTAGCTTCATGCATTTTACAGGAGGCATAGTTAAAAAAATAAAGACACAGAAAGTGCAAGAATGGCAAAGGATATAACAGAAAAAATACAAAAATAAAACAGTAGTGACTGAAAATAACCATTTTCATATCTAATTTTTGCCACGTGTATTTTTTTAACCAATCTTACAAGAGGTTTATCAATCTTGTTAGTCTTTTCAAAAAATAAGCTTTCAACTTTGTTGATTTTTTATTGCATTTTTAAAAATAAAATCTATTAAGAGAAAAAATATTTTTAACATTAAAAATTACTAGAGACAAAGAGGTTTACAACATGATAGCAGATTCAATTGAGCATGAAGTTATAAGAATTCCAAATTTTCACTTATATACCAATATAATGTAGACATATATATAGTCAAAATAACCAGTTGGAATAATAGACAGACACACAACATTACAGAAGGAGATTTGAACATACCTCTCTTGTAACTGATGGATAAAGCAGTGGGGAAAATCAATGAATGTTATATATTGAACAGTACAGTTAATAAACTTGCGTTAATGGACATACACAGAATATAGATTCCCAAATCATGTTTTCAAACACATAAGTCTCAGAAACTGACCCAGATGATACATCATGAAAATTAATATGTAATGATGTATTTACTGACCATTAGGCAATTCAATTAAAAATGAGTAACAAAATGGTAAGTAGAAACAGAACACAAAATCGAGAATTTTAAAACACATTTTAATAGTTAATGGGCCAAAGAGAGAATCATAACAGAAATTAGAAAATATTTAGAACTGAAGAGAAATTTAAATACTCTGAAGCAAATGAGTTATTGGAGGAAATTTTATACCTTTAACTGCTAACATTAAAAAGCCTGAAACTTAACTAACATACTATCTGATTTAAATAGTTAGAAAAATAAGAGCCTAACAAATTCAAAGAAAGTGTAAAGAATGAACAAATAAAAGTAAAATTTAACCAAACAGAAAATGGAGCCGGGCGTGGTCGCTCACGCCTATAATCCCAGCAATTTGGGAGGCCGAGGCAGGTAGATCACCTGATGTCAAGAGTTCAAGACCAGCCTGGCCAACTTGGCAAAACAATACAAAATTAGCCAGGCGTGGTGGCAGGTGCCTGTAATCCCAGCTACTCGGGAGGCTGAGACAGGGAGAATTACTTAAATATATATATTTATATAGCTGTTATATAAATATACATTTGTATGTATATTTGTATAGCTGTTATAACATTGAAATCTAAGAAGATATGACAACTTTAGGCCAACAAATGTGAAAAATTTAAACAAATTGTTACATTTCTAAAAAATACACTTCACTAAATATGATTTAGAAGAATTAGAAAATTTAATTTGTACTTAAGTATTCAAGTAATTAAATTAATAGTTAAAATTATTTCTACAAAGAAAGCACAAGGCCTAGATGTCTTTACTACTGAGTTCTATATATTCTTCCAGTTAGCACATAAAAACATAAGATGCTACTTCTTAATTCCTCCTATGAGATGAGCAAAAGCCCCATGCCATAACCTAGCAAAATCATCACAAACTATTCTCATCCATGAATATAGATTCAAAAAATTCTGAACAAAATATTAGCAAATTGAATCTCGGAAGTTTACTTTTATATTAAAATATCTATCAACAAAATTCCCATTTTAAGGGATTAATGAGGAAACATAAAAATCTTAATAAATACAAATAAATCATTGCTACATAGTAAAAAAAAATTTAGTAAACAAGGATTAAGAGGAAGAAAAGTTGCTGAGCTTTATAATGGACATATGCATATACAGAAACCTATAGCAAATATAGTATGCAGTACTGGCTCTTCAAAAGCATTTCCTTTAAAAATGGGGAACTAGATGAGGATGACAGCTATTGCCACTTCTGTTAAACATTATACATCAGTCTTAATTCCATTCTGTAATATAGAAAAGTTATTAAAGTGTGTATAGACTGAAAATAAACTACCATTAGTCAAACATGCTATAAAATCTGAGGAAGTGTTACCGAAGTATAAGAACAGATGTGCCGAGGCAAGCCAAAGAAGCACGTATTAAATATGGTCCTCCCTAGAATTCTTTAGAGAGGATTTATAGAGTATTTCCATAATGATGTAAAGTTCTATTGGACAGTGCTAGTCTATAGGGTTAGCCCTTGATATTTTTTGCATCTGTACAAAAAGCCAATATCCAGAATTATTCATTCTGTGTCAATTATTTTTCTCTATATCAAGTTAAGATCTACTTAGGACTCATATCAAGTTAAGATCGACTTGCCATAATTTTAGCATTTGAGGGTTCACGTCTTGGCCATCTCTCCCTGCTCAAAGTGTTTTATGAGAACTTTTTGTTTAGACCTGTCTTTTGTCCTCTTCCCAAATGTATGAATGCATTATCAAAATTCTACACTGGAAATTCCTAAATTAAACGTGTTCATATCCCCAGGAACTTAGTCTCTAATTACTTATATGCACTTCATTCTTTGGAAAGACATTAATTAACTTATCAGCTTGTTTCTTTGAAATTTTCTTGAACGCTAAATGTTTCAGAATTTGCCCTATCCATTCTCTACTGTTGAATTCTAGCCTCTATCTCCTGGCTGTACGTTACTCCCTTAATCAATTCATGTTAGAAGTGTTGAAAAATAGCCACTAGTGACTTCCTGACCCTATCAAGTGCCAGGAAGACTTATATGGATACCCACTTCACCAAAAATACTTCAGAATTCTATAATCGTCAGCACAAACTGTGTCACTGATGGCAGTGGCCACTCCAGACAGCCACTGGAATGTTCTTCAAAGATAATCGTCTGGTTTTCAATTTTCTGAGCTTGATTTGATCATCACTGGAGGATTTGTTGTCCTGGGGATAGTTGATTTCCTGTAATATAACCTAATCTTATCTTTTCAGAAAAGCTAACCAACATCTCAAACACCACCAGAACCGTCGTACGTAATTCATTGCTGCTCTTTCCCAATTACAACCTTGCAAAGTGCGTTAGTCAGTATACAACTATCTACGACGTGAAGATATTGTGCACCACCTTAAAGAAGCATCCTGTCCACCTAAATTGTAGCAAAGCAAGTAAGTACCTCAGGGTCCCTAAGTCTAGCAAATTAGCTTCAGGTTCATGCTGTAAAATGTGGGGAATCTGCCCTTCCTTCATCGGAGAGCATCAGGACACATGTTTGGTACATAAGTCCTTTTACAAGGCTGGAAAAAACCTCCTTAAATATAATAAAGCCTCAGTCTGGGTGCGGTGGTTCATGCCTGTAATCCCAGCACTTTGGGAGGTCAAGGTGGGCGGATCACCCGAGGTCAGGAGTTCGAGAGCAGCCTGGCCAACATAGAGAAACCCCGTCTCTACTACAAATACAAATATTAGCCGGGCATGATGGTGCACACCTGTAATCTCAGCTACTCAAGAGGCTGAGGCAGGAGAATCTCTTGAACCCAGGAGGCAGAGGTTGCAGTGAGCCAAGATCGTGCCACTGCACTCCATCCTGGGCAACAGCCAGACTCCATCTCAAAAAACCAAACCAAAACAAATAAATATAATAAAGCCTCAAAAGCAAATCCAGGGTAAGTTTAAAGTGGTCATCAGATATACAATAAGAAGTACTAATAATCAACCATGTACTAACTTTACCTGCGTTATTGTAAGTCTTCACAACAATCTCAAGTTACCTGTTTTTATACTCATTTGAGGAAAATGACTGTGTGTCGTACAGCTCTTATGGTCCAGACTGAGATTCAAAGTTTTTTTCTTCCACTGCATAATGCATTCCCATAAGGAAGGATTTGTTCTGTCTTCACCATTTTTATTTAATACTGTTTAGTGGTTATTAGTTTAAAAGTGTTGCAACTATGTTGCTCATTTTATTCCTATGTATCTTTTGATGCTATTATAAATGATATGACTTTTTGAAATGTCATTTTTGTTTGTTGCTGATATAGAGAAATACAGTTGAAAAAGTTCATTTTCTGTATATTATTGAACTTGTAAAATTATTTTAATAATTTAGGTGTATATTTTTTATTTTAATGGATGTATTCAAAGCAGCTGCTAATAACGTATTTATTTTCCAATCCATGTACACTTATTTTTTGTTCTTGATTCCCTGCTTTGTCAAAGACACATAGTTCAAATTTAATCAAATTGGTCATCATAGACCTTCAGTTTCATTTCAATTTAAAAGATAACATTATAATATTTTACTATCAAGAATGATGTTTTCTATAGAAACCCTTTATCAGAATCGAGAAGTTTCTTTCTATTCTGTGTTTAGTTTATTTAATTATGAATACATGTTCAATCTTAGATGTTTTTTACTGCTTCTGTTGAACTTTTCTTCTTTGTTCTCTTGAATTACATATTTATTCCATTGAACTACATGGTGAATTATACAAGCTGAATTTGCAATGGTACATGATAACAAATCAAGTAATAAATTAGGTAAAGCAAGCATTATTGTGATATATTAAATGTTATATATTGTGGATTAAGTTCACTAATATTAATTAAGGATTCTTGTGTCTATGTCTATTAAAAAGATTAACCTAAAATTATTGGGAATTTTTAGTGAAATACTTACCAACATTTGGTATAAAAATTAAACAGGATGGGCATGGTGGCTCATGCCTGTAATTCCAACACTTTGGGAGACCAAGGCAGGTGGATCACCTGAGGTCAGGAGTTTGAGTCCAGCCTGGCCAACATGGTGAAATCCTGTCTCTACTAAAAATACAAAAATTAGCTGGGCGTGGTGTTGCACGCCTGTAATCCCAGCTACTTGGGAAGCTGAGGCACAACTATCGCTTGAACGTGGGAGGCAGAGGTTACAGTGAGCCAAGATCATCCCACTACACTCCAGCCTGGGCAACAGAGCGAGACTCCATCTCAAAAAAATAAATAAATAAACTTTATAAAATAAAAAATAAACAAAGTAAGAAGTGCTTCCTATTTTTTATTTGCTCAAAGACTTTGTGTATCTACCAACATATCTTCTTAAATGTTTGGTGTTATTTCCTCTTAAATAGGGTGTAATTCATATGTGAAGTTAATTATGCATGGAGATTGTCCTTTGAGGAGGTTTTTAATTGTTCACATTTCTAAGTGAGAATTATTTGGGTATCTTATTAACAATCTGGGTGAGGAGTTGTTAGTTGAGTTTTTACAGGACCATTTCACTCCATCTAAATTTTCCAGTTTATTGGAATACATTTATTCACAATACCTTATGGTCTTTTTAACATCTGTAGGATTAATAATGATGTCTCCATTTTCATTTCTGTCTAATTTTGGCCACTTGTGTTTTTTTAAACAGTCTTAAAAGAAGTTTATCAATCTTGTTAGTCTTCAAAAAATAAGTTTTCAACTTTGTTGATTTTTTATTGCATTTTTTAAAATTTATTTTCTACATTATTTTCTTCTTCTACATTCTAAATTTGGGAGATTAATTCTCTAACATTGCAAGATGAGCCCTTAGATTGTTTATTGTCACTCTGCATTCTTTTTGTGACTAGAATGTATCTCAGTGTGGTTGGAGGGATTGGCATTTTTTCTACTTAGGTGCTCTAAGCTTCTAACATCTGTGATTTGATGTCTCATTACTTTTGGAAGATTGTCATTCTTGGGAAGACAAAATGTCTGGGAAAAGTCAGGACAATTTGGAAGATAGAATTGTCCCTTGGAGACTTGAGATGTAGAAAGAAGGAAACATACAGCATAAGTTAAGGGTCCTGAAGAACCAAAAGGCTATCAGGAAATCAGAAAACTGTATCCACACTACCACCACCACCCCATCACACCCTCCCCAGTAAAAAGACATTTACATGTAAAGAAACTATATTTCACTCTACCAACAGAAATAGCTGTCATAAACCAAGCAACCATGTCATCTTCTCAAACCATTATCACCATTTCATAGAATTACTGTTTTTGATGGTCCATGAGAATTCACAGTTCACACCAGAAAGAGGTAGGATACATTTATACAAAGTATGAAAGGTGGACAAAAAGGAATAAAAACAGTGCACATGACAAAATAACCTTTAAAAATCACAAAGGCAACATACTTACGAATACACCTATGGTGGGGGCAGAAAATGTGTCAAAATGTTAGCAATGTTGATACTATGCAGAGGGAACAGTGTTTATTTTATTACTATTATTTCGATTTCACTTTATGTTTGAGAATTTTAGAAATAAGGAGAAAATGGGCTTCAGACAACTATATGAGAGTATGATACTGTTTTTATAAAGCTCAAATTTAGAAATTAAAATATTGGTAGTGCATACATGTGAAGATCAACTTGTATGTAATTAACACAGGAAATCAGAACACAATTCATCATAGCCGCTACCTGTGGAGAATAGAAAAGTGAAGGATCACATAAGTATTCTGTTTACAATATTTGTAAACTTTTCATTTTGAGGCTTGGCTTATAGATGCCATTATGATATTATTCTTAAAATTTATAAATAAGGCCAGGTGCGGTGGCTCACGCCTGTAATCCTAGCATTTTAGGAGGCCGAGGTGGGCAGATTACTTGAGGTCAGGTGTTCGAGACCACCCTGGCCAATGTGGTGAAACTCTGTCTCTACTAAAAATACAAAAATTAGCCGGGTGTGGTGGCATGCACCCAGCTATTCAAGAGGCTGAGACAGGAGAATCGCTTGAACCTGGAAGGCGGAGGTTGCAGTGAGCCAAGATCGTGCTACTGCACTCCAGCCTGGGTGATAGAGTGAGACTCAGTCTCAAAAAATAATATACATATGTATATGCATAAATATTATACCATATAGTCTTTTATATGAGTCAAGTATTTTTAAAACATAATTCTAAAGTATGAGAATGTAAAAGATGAAATAATAGTAGATATAATGGTCTACCCAGAAATCTGAAATAATCCCCTAATGAACTATTAGATTCTATAATAATTAATGTGGTTGCTGAACTCAGAATAAATACAAACATAAAATTCAATTGCATTTCTATACATCAATGACCAAGACTTATAAAATGTGATTCCGAAAAAGGGAGAGTTCAGTGGCCAAAACTAGAACAGTTTGAGCAACAAAATAAGGTAGTACTGGATTATAACCCAAAATATAACAAATAATATCTGTAAGTCTATTTTGATTTATTAAAGTAATTCTGATATTTAGTTTGACATCTATTTAAATGATGTTCAAATATATCTATTCGAATTGAAATATATAATTTCTAGTATATAAAGGGGGAAGAAAGGAAAAACTTTATAGCAGAGAAAACTGAAAAACACCACCTCAATCAAGTGACCAAGAGCAACGTCAGCAGTAAATAATTCACTTTGAGTGTATGGAGCTCTCCTTTTAAATATGATAAAGATTGAATTTTACCTTTGCGGTATTCCTTCCAAAAACCCATAACCTCATTCTAATCATGAAAAAAACCTTATATAGATCCCAATTGAGGGTCTCCCAGATCGTATTCTACAAAATACCTGACCCCCAGTACTCCTCAAAAATGTCAATGCCATTAAAAATAAGAAAAATCCAAGAAACTATCACAGCCAAGAGGAACCTAAAAGACATGGCTATTAAATGTAATGTGGTATCTGGATTGGAGCATGGAACAGAAAAAGGACATTATATTTTAAAAACTAGGACATCTGAATAAATTAGGTACATTAGTTATAATAATGTATTAATATTCATTAATTGTAACATGTATCTTACTAGTATATGTTATTAGAGATACTGGGTACCAGATATATGGAGCGCTCTACTCTCTTTACAATTTTTCTGTAAATCTAAAACTATTCTAAAATATCCTTTTTTAAAACAAGGAGAGGAAAGTTTATAATTTTCTTATAACAGGATTTTTTTTTTTTTTTTTTTGAGATGGAGTCTTGCTCTGTCATCCAGTCTGGAGTGCAATGGCCCGATCTCGGCTCACTGCAACCTCTGCCTCCCAGGTTCAAGTGATTCTCCTGCCTCAGCCTCCCAAGTAGCTGGGATTACAGGTGCCAGCCACCACACCTGGCTAATTTTTGTATTTTTAGTAGGGACGAGGTTTCACCATGTTGTCCAGGCTGGTCTCAAAGCCCTGACCTCAGGTGATCCGCGTGCCTTGGCCTCCCAAAGTGTTAGTATTACAGGCGTGAGCCACTGTGCCAGGCTATCATTTTCTTATAACATGAATTCTGTGCCTTTTATTCATGAACTTTCCAAGAAAGTTTTACAAGTGTCAGCTAATGGTCAGTTTTACATTGTTTAAAGGCGAGTGTGTCTTCTTTTCCAAGAGTATTTGTACTTTAAAGCTTTCTTCTAATTAGCAACTTAAGATTTCACATTTCTGAAAGGATTTGGGATATAGTGTTCATAGTAAGCAATGATTATTAGACATATAAATAAATATATTAATATACATATGCTTACTTAATTACCATGCATTATGTTAATGAAGGCGATCTCCAAAATTTATTGTTCAAATGGCATTTTTGTAGCAGGATAAGTACTTCTCACACTAAATACCTTGTCTCAATTTAGTCTAATATTTGATTTTATACTATATTTTTTCTTTGTTGTTTTCCGAGTTCTTGTTCATTCATAGTATCAATGTTGTGCACTAAGATTAGCCGTCTTGCATTTTCTTTTTTGCCAATTTCAGATACTGAGAAGAATATTTATTCTTTGGAAGAGCCTATGATTGGAAAGTATTTGATTGACATGAGTACTGCAGGCTTTATTTTCCTTGTGTTGATTTTCTTTTGGGAGACTACTTCATGGAGACTAAGAACATTCCTCAATCAATACATTTACTTTGGTATCTACAAGCGATACAGGAAAGTAAGTACTCAAGTGTGGAATAATTTAAAAACAACTCTAAGAGAATTGAAAATTAGATCTGAGAGGTATGTATCAATTAGGTCTGAGAGGTATGTATCTATATACTGTTACCTTAGCCAGCCTGGTGGCATGCTTCTGTGGTCCCAGCTACTCAGGAAGCTTGGAAGTTATTTGATGAAAGAAAAATCTGTGTCTACAAGATTGTATTTTCTTAACCTATATTGAGATAGAATTACCTACACTAAATTGCATTCTTTTTGTTGGTCATTTCAAAGGTCCAGATTTTGTCTTTATGAATTTTCTCTAATGCTGACTATTTTCTATTTCACTGATAATCTAATTCTTTTTCATGGCTGAAAAGTACTCCATTGTGTGTAAGTATCATATTTTGTTTATCCATTCATTCATTGATGGGTAGTTAGGTTACTTTCGAATCTTGGGTATTGTGAATAGCATGCCTGCTATGGGTCTGTCACATATGGCTTTTATTAGGTTGAGGTACGTTCCTTCTATACTCATTTTTTAGGGTTTTTATCATGAATGGATGTTGAATTTTATCAAATGCTTTTTCAGCGTCAATTGAAATGATTGTATAGTTTTCGTCCTTCATTATGTTGATATGATGTACCACATTGATTGGTTTCTGTATCTTAAACCATCCTTGCATCCCTGGGAGAAATCCTACTTGGACATGATAAAATGATCTTTGTAATGTATTGTTGAATTCAGTTTGCTAGTATTTTGTTGAGAATTCTTGCATCAGTATTCATCAGGGATATTTGTCTGTTGTCTTCTTTCTTTTTTTATGTATCTTTTTCTGATTTTTATTACTGCCTTAATTTCATTGTTTATGCAAAGTCATTCAGGAGCAGATTATTTAATTTTCATTTAATTGTAAGGTTTTGAGCAATCTTCTTCATATTGATATCTATTTTTATTGCACTGTGGTCCAAAAGTGTGGTTGGTATGATTTTATGGGGTTTTTTTAATAATATGTTAAAGACTGTTTTATGGCTGGTTGTGTGGTCAATTTTAGAGTATGTGCTATGCACAGATAAGAAGAATGTGTGTTCTGTTTTTGAGTAGAGAGTTCTGTGGGTGTCATTTAGATTCATATGGTCAATGTCGAGTTCAGGTCCTGAATATCTTTGTTAATATTTTGCCTCCATGATTTGTCTAATACTGTCAGTGAGGTGTTGAAGTCTCCAACTATTATTGTGTGGTTATTTAAGCCTCTTTGTGGTCTCCAAGAATTTGCTTTATGAATCTGGGTGTTCCTGTGTTGGGTGCATACATATTTAGGATAGTTAGGTCTTCTTGTTGAATTGAACCCTTTGCCATTATGTAATGCCCTTCTTTGTCTTTTTTGATCTTTGTTGGTTTAAAATCTGTTTTGTGTGAAATTAGAATAGCAACCCTTCTTTTTTTCTGTTTTCCATTTGCTTAGCTTTTTCTCCATCTCTTTACTTTAAGCCTGTAAGTATCATTGCATGTGAGATGGATTTCTCGAGTATAGCATACAGCTGAGTCCTGCTTCTTCATCCAACTTGCCACCCTGTGCCTTTTAATTGGGGTATTTAGCTTATTTATATTCGAGGTTAATACTGATATATGCGAACGTGATCCTATCATCATGTCATTGGCTGGTTGTTATGTAGACTTGATTGTAGAGTTGCTTTATAGTGTCAAGGCTCTTTTACCTAAGTGTGTTTTTGTGATGGTCTTTCCTTTCCATATTTAGCACTCCCTTCACGACCTCTTGTGAGGCAGGTCTGGTGGCAATGAATTCCCTTAGCATTTGCTTGTCTCAAAAGGATCTTATTTCTCCTTTGCTTATGAAACTTAGGCTGAATATGAAATTGATGGTTGGAATTTCTTTTCTTTACCAATGCTGAATATAGGCCCCCAATCTCTTCTGGCTTGTAGGGTTTCCGCGGAGAGATCCACTGTTAGCCTGATGGGGTTCTCTTTGTGGGTGATCTGTTCCTTCTCTCTAGCTGCCTTCAACATTTTTTCTTTCATTTTGACCTTCAGAAAACTGACGAATATGTGTCTTGAGGATGGTTATCTTGTATAGTATCTCATAGGGGTTATTTGCTTTTCCTGAATTTGATGTTGGTGTCTCTAGTGAGGTTTGGGAAATTTTCATGGATGATGTCCTGAAATATATTTTCCAAGTTTCTTGCTTTCTCTCCCTGTTTCAGTGACAGCAGTAAGTCATAGATTTTATTTCATTACATAATTCCGTATTTCTCAGGTTTGGTTCATTCTTCTTTTTGTTTCTTCTTTATTTTGTCTGACTCAGTTGTTTCAGAGAACTGGTCTTTGAGGTGAGCTTCTTTCCTCAGCTTGCTTGATTCTGCTGTTAATCCTTGCAGTTGTATTATAGAATTCTTGAAGTGTGTGTTATAGAATTCTTGACGTGAGTTTTTCAGCACTGTAAGATCAGTTTGATTCTTTCTTAAAATGGCCACTTCATCTTTCATCTCTTGTATTGTTTTATCGTATTCCTTAGAGTCCTTGGATTGGGTTTTTACTTTCTCCTAAATTTTGATCATCTTTGTTCCTATCCATATTCTGATTTCTATTTCTGTCATTTCAGCCATTTCAGCCTGGGTATGAACCATCACTGCTGAGGAACTAGTGTGGTTGTTCCGAGGTAAGAAGATACTCTGGCTTGTTGAGTTGCCAGAGTTCTTGCGCTGGTTCTTTCTCATCTGTGTGGGCTTGTGTTCCTTCAATATTTGACATTGCTGTCCTTTGGATGGGTTGGTTTTTTGTGTTTTTTGTTTGTTTGTTTGTTTTTTGCTTGTATCTTTTTTTATGCCCTTGGGGATTTGATTGTGGTATAAAGTGGGTTCAGTTGACTGCTTTGTTTCTGGAAGACTTTAGGGGGCTAAGTCTCAGCTCAGCACTCTTGGGCTGCATGCTCTATCTCTGAGGAGCTGGTCCTGGGCCCACAGCTTTGTTCTCTGGCCCCTGGAAGTTAGGAATCTGCTGCACTGGAGGGGCTGAAGTGGTCCCAGTTCACTGGCCAGAACACTCCAAGGAGTGGCGTGGGCCAAAGCACTTCACTGGGGCAGCGGCAGCAGGATCCACGCTTGCTTGCCTGTGCCAGCAGCCACAGCGGTACAGCGAGGTGCACACGCCTCAGCTGATTGGGGTACTGTCAGAAGCAAGGCTGCCGCATACCTGCTGAGCTTGCACAAGTTACAGTGGTGGTGTGGTAAGGGCGGGGTGCTGGCGGTGAGGGCTGGGATTGGGGGGTTCCAGTGTTGGTGCTCACACTCATGCTTGCAACAGTGATGGCGAGAGTGGGGCACTGGTGAGCATGGCGCTGTTGGCCTCCATGGTGCTTGTGCTCCCAAAGGCAGCATTGGCAGCGCAGGGTGGATGAGGCTGCCAACATCCTTGTGCACATTTGTAGCAGCAGTGGGGTGGCACCAGGGCATGGGGTTGCCAATGTCTGCACGTTCGCGCCGGTGGCGGTGTCAGCGTTGGGGGTGTTGAACATCTTTTGCATACCTTTTGGCCATTCATATGTCTTGTTTCAAAAAATGTCTGTTCAGATCTTTTGCCATTTCTAAATCAGATTATTTGTTTTCTTACTATTCTGTTGTTGTAATTGTTTATATATTTTGGATATTAATCCCTTATGAGATAAATGGTTTGCAGATATATTCTCCCAATCCATAGGCTGTCTCCTCACTCTATTGTTTATTTTACTCTGCTGAAATTTTTAGTTTCATGCAATTTTATTTGTCTATTTTTGCTTTTGTTGCATGTGCTTTGTGGATTATTTGAAAAAAACCTTTGCCAGACCAATGTAAAGAAGCTCTTACCCTGTATTTTCCTCTAGGAATTTTGCAGTTTCAGGCCTTAAGTTTAAGTCTCTAATCCACTTTGAGTTCATTTTCTTTCTATTGAGTGAGATAAGGGTCCAACTTCATTCTTTTGCATGTGGATCTTCAAATTTCCCAATAGCATTTATTAAGGAAACTGTCTTCCTCGCTGTGTCTTTTGGGCACCTTTGCTGAATATATTTGACCTTAAATGCATGATTTTATCTCTGGGCTTTCTGTTCTTTTCTGTTATTCTGTATGTCTGCTTTTGTACCAGTACTGCATTGCTTTGACTACTGTTACTTTGTAGTAGATTTTGATATCAAGTTGTGTGATGCCTGGAGTTTTGTTCTTATGTGCTCAAGATTTATTTGGCTATTTGGAGGTATTTTGGGGTTTCATATGAATCTGAGAATTGTCTTTTCTATTTCTGTGGTAAGGGCCATTGAAATTTTGATAGGGATGGCATTGAATCTGCAGACTACTTTGGATGACATAAATATTTTAACAATATTAAATTTTCCAATCCGTGAATACAGGATATCTTCCGTTGATTTTGTCTTCTACAAAATATTTAGTCACTGTTTTATAGTTTTCGGTTTGCAGACCTTTCAGCTCTTTCATTAAATTTATTGCTAAGTATTATTATGCTATTGTGAATGAGATTGGTTTTTGGATTTTTTGATAGGTAGTTATTAGTGAATAGAAATATTGATTTTTGAATGTTGATTTTGTATCCCACAAATTTATTAAATTCATTTGTTAGTTCTAACATATTTTTGGTGAAATATTTAGGGTTTTCTATTTCTAGGGTCATGGCATCTGCAAATAGGGACAATTCAATTTACTCCTTTTCAATTTGGATAACTTTTATTTCTTTTTCTTGCCTAATTGCTCTAACTAGGACTTTCAGGACTATGCAGAATAAAAGTGGCAAGAATGGACATCGTTGCCTTATTCCTGATCTTAGAGAAAAAGCTCTCAATTTTTCTCCATTGAGTATGATGTTTGATGTAGGTGTGTCATATATGGCCTTTATTGTGTTGAGGTACATTCTTTTAATACCTAATGTGTTGAGAGTCTTTTTATCATAAAGGATGTTAAATTTTGTCAAATGTTTTTTCTGCATTTATTCATATGAATCATATGTTTTTGTCC